CAGCCAGTACAGCGTCTGCGGACATTGCCCTTAAATCCTTCCTTTTCTTCGAGCTTGCGATTAGTGAATTCGCGCTTGAATTGGGTTGCTGATTCAACTTCTCGAATGGCATGTCATGCTGAAATGACCTCACAGGAGTTTCGCCAAACTACAGGATAGTTACTTCGCTACATGTGATATTACAAATGGAAGAGAGAAAACGACAGATCAGTATAGGATGAAAAGACCAAGCAGTGCATTTATCGCAAGATGAATGCAGAAGAAAATGAATCTCTAGAGCTACTCTTTAATAAAACCGAATCGCGTCGAATGTGTTAAATTTGGTTTTTGTTCCACACCCAGTCTAAGTAACCTTACTTTTTCTGTTATTTGTCCATAGTCAGAGAAGTTGTTGCAGAATCTGCCGGTTTTAGATCTGGAGCAGTTCTCACTTCTATTTCCGCCGATGTTTCTTATCAACGACAAACATGACCGGGACTAAATTGTTTTTCGATCCTGGTCCCGGTCCCAGTAAAATTCTATTTTTTGGTCCCGGTCCCGGTCGCGGTCCCGGTAAAATTCTATTTTTTGGTCCCGGTCCCGGCTACCGGGACCGGGACTGGGACCGGGACCGGGACCGGGACTGGTCCCGCACATGTCTAGTCCTCTCCCTTATTCCTGTTAGGATCCTGACAGATCCTTGTAAAATTTCTTAAGAAATCAACAGGATTGAGACTAGGGTTCTGTTTACTATTAAAAGTGATGATCGGGTGAGGGTAGTTTCGCGAAAGTGTCCATACTTTCCCTCAGAGGTTTTCAAAATCACGAATACTAGAAAATTCCCAATTTTTCATGAAAAACGATGAACGACTGGGAGGGGATGCTTCGCGAAGGTTCCCCTACTCCCCCTTAAGGAGTGTACAAAATTTCGAAAAAGTTTCTGTGACTGTGACTCACTGGTAGTAATGGCGGTCATGCCGGGCACTAGTTTGATAATAGTGGTTTTTCTCTTATTTTCTTTGGTGCACCACTTTGAACATAAACCAATTGTTGTTGAAATATCACCTCTTCCGTTTTAATAACAGGAATAAAGTGCCCATGCTAGAATAATGTTGATTTATTTAACTGATACACATACGAATCTAGGACTAACAAAGGTTTTCCTTTGTTACTAGAAATATATTCATTCGAGATCATAATATGAAAATAAACACACTTGTTATATAATGATGATAAGTAAATTTATGCACACACATGTTTAAATAAACATAGAAGATTGAGTAGACCGACGAATAATACAGAGAAAGAGAATGGATGACTCATTCGTAATTGGATGTTATCTCTTGTTTTTCGAATATTCGAATTATTTTATATTCGATATTTTTCTCATTCGATTTTTTTTGACCTTTTTCTTGCCAAGATTTGGCTCTTTGATTTTATACATTTTTGACAATTAACGCCTCTCCCTTCAAACAACCTTGTGGAACTTCTTCGGCTCTTAAGACTTCAACACACTACAGAAACTCCATAAGATTTCACATGATTTCAATAGAGTTGAAAACTAGATCAGCATTCAAGAAACTTTCGAAATCAGATGAGATTTGTTCAATATGCAAAAACGCTAAGTCTTATATAAAGCTGGAACAAAAACTCTGAAAATTAATGATATAATTGTTGATAGTATTCGTGTAGTTAACACGATCAATCCAGCGCAATGGGGAAACAGTGGATTGTAAAACTTCAAAAAGATTTCACAAAACTTCAGAACATTTCAAGTGACTTAACGGCATTTCAAAAGACTTTTGAGACTTCTTTAGATATCTAAGTTCTAACGAAACTGAGTGTGGGTGTGGGTGTCAGTCTTCTCTTCACTTATACCAGCACCTGTGCTGCACACTCACTGATGCTCACACTCTGAAGAGATTGTGCTAGGTTGTGTTCTTGGTTGTATTCCTCTGAAGCTATGTCTGTGATTCACTCTGATTTGCCTATACAATCAAACTTGTGTGAATCTAATTAACAGTGGACATTTATCGACAATTTGATCGCTCGATGCTTTGTTGTCCAGTCAATATTGATCGAAGACGACAGTCGATGAGTTGCTCGCGAATGTGTCCATGAAAGAATGATCATACAATGTAAATTATTCGCAGTTTTTCACTGCGTGTAAACTATCGATATATTTTTGTGTAGTGTCCCAACAAAGAAATCCTCTTCACATAAATAATACTCTCTTGAATCTTTACGGTAAGTTAACAACTGTTGTCTATTTCATCACAGCCTGTCTGGTTGCTATATTCAGTTGCATAGTTCTCAATTTTTAAAGACGCAACGCCATAGTGATTCCTGAAACATAGATGGATAAAAATCGACAGTGACTATGCATAATCGATGTTCTCTGTATAAAGAAGTGTAAAATTAATTTTATTGATGAGTAAGGTAGCCAGAAATTTTTAGGCATGGTAATAAAATATTTAAGCTTCTTTGTGATACAAAGTTTCTTCACATTGCACATAAATTGGCATGCCTTTCGATTTTTTAGATCAAATATTCTCATTAAATTTTATATGACTTATGGATCGTTTTGACTCTGTACTCTTGCAATGCAACCTACAACACGATGAGTAGGAGGAATTGTTGTTCAATGTAGACTTTTGATCTTTACAGTCATCTTCAGATATGTGTAGTGGGCAGGTAATGGTCTTCTCTCTACTCTCACTCATCCCGACATGGTTCTTTAAAATTTTAAAGAAAATCGATCGAAAACATTTTTACGGAAAGTTTTTGATATAGATAAGAGCTTGTTAAACTTCAGGAAATTGATAATCATGAATATATTCATGAGAAAAAAAAGAAATCGTGAGCTTATCATCATTCGACCTGTTTACTTGATATTAATGAGATGATTCAATCGACAGATAAAATATGTTTCATCGATGGCGTCTTTCGTCTGAAAGTAAATCGTTTGAGCCTCGGATATAATAATAGAAAAATAAAGTCATATCTCAAAAGTTTTAAGAGATTTTCATCATGTTAACAGAACAAAGCCGGTATAACAGAATGCTAAACCTTTAAAAATTGTGCCATAATAGATCAGACCAATAATGCCTACAAAAAATAATCGAACGGGATGATGCGAATGGCAAAGAAACGAGTGAAGTACACGTTTACACGAAGCAATAAATAGAAAAAGACTTTAAAACTAGATTTTTGTTTTTCATCTTGTGTGTTCTTTAAAGATAAATAATTTCGTTCACTACTTTCTAATATTGTACGTCAATACCATCATTCTGTCTTTCCATATCGACAGTCACGGTGTCGAGAACAATGCCATTATCATTATCATCAACCATTTCACTTGGCCATTTTTTACCACATGCTGGCACTGGACTTAGGTTGCACAGTGCATAGTATATGAGTGAAGAAACAATAAATCCCAGATAGAAATTTAAATGGTACATATTCTGTGCTGCAGTTGAGACACGTGCCCCCACTGCACCAGCGAATCCGACCACATTAATAAGGATTCCTGCTATGTATGCAACGTACGCCCGCCAATTCACGCCCCATGTAAAGTAATAAACACCATTTTTTGATCCTGAATACAGTTGTTCAATGTCTAGGTAACCTTTTCGTACAAAATAATAGTCTGATATCATAACGCCAACAACTGATGAGAGAAAAGTCGAGTATGCAGATAGATAGATTGTGAATGTTGAAGAACTAGAGAGGAGATTCCACGGACAGATGACTAAGCCGACTACAGCACAAATATAACCGGATCGTCTAATATTGAGAAACTTTGGTAAAAGTGCCGTTAGATCAGATCCTGCTGACACAGAATTTGCTGCAATATTTACACCGAGTTGGGCTAGGGCAAATGCTAATGAGATAAAGAAGACACCTGCACGTGTTCCAGCTGTCGGTTGATTGTCGAGAAATTTGCCTAGGAGATCTAATGGATTCCAAATAGCTTCACCGAAGATCACGTTTGATGATGAGCCAACGATTACGCCGATGAAACATGTGACGGAAAAACTGATTGGAATAGTGAGTATTTGCGGCCAGAAAACCGCTGATGGGCGGGTAGCAAAGCGAGTATAATCTGGATTATTAACAACGAGTGTGACAAAGTTTGAAATACAACTCATAATTCCACTCATCCAAAACCAAGCATGTGTACTACCTGTGAAATATACATGCATCTACACAATATGATGGCAAAGTATTGTTTTATATACTGTCATCTTTCAATATTTATCTGACATAAGCATCGAAAAAAATAGTTTCCGCGAATTTGGTAATCTTTTTTTAAAATTTCGTGACAATACTACGGTTCTGATTTTTTTTTGTTAGATTTCCTAAGCACATATTAATCGTTTTCCAGGCCATATGTAAGTGAATTTCGAGAAGCTCCTCTAGTAGTTTACAGATTGCGCAGAGTCGTGAAAGCTTTGTGAATATAGGATTTGTGTGATACTATACAATGGATTTTTCATGCATTTTTGTGATGTTTTACACTTTTTTCTGAGCCTTCAAAAATTGTTGAGGTTCCGAAACTCGGCATTCTCTTTCTAGTGTACTTAGATTTTTTTGTAAAACTGCTATGGTGGGCACATATCTCTGCGAAGTCTTATAAGGGAACAAGAGTTTGATAAATAGTAGAGCATCTCTGATAAAATAGATTATATTTTTCGTTATTTCGACTACGATTCTGTTCCGTAGTTCATGAGCTTTTTGTCGTATTTCCGCGACGTTTTTTTGCAGCTCTTCCAATTTAAACAAGGAAATTAGAAGAACTTAGCTTTTTCTCCAATGATGCTTTTTTTTATGCTATAACACTCAAGCGCTCACGTGCTCGTTGACAGAGACAATTTAAGATAATGTATGTGAAAAATACGATAGAATCTCAAGTCAGACATGTAATCCCCCCTTTTCAACAAAGGAAATCTTATGAAATTTGAAATAAACTTTATCGAATTTTCAGAATTTGTTGTTGGTTTTCATTAATCGAAAAAATATCAGCGAATCTCTACTCCAATATCATATCGTGTCCGTGCATGTTTACCTGTGAGTGTACCTGGTTGATGAACAACAGGACCAAGACCTTTTGCTTTCACTAGAGTCCAGATGAAAAACGCTATGGCTGCAACAGGCACGACAATTGATTTAACAGTGAATAGAATCCGTATTTTTTGTACAGGAAACCAAATCGCGATCAATGAAAGCGCCCAAAAAATAATAAAACCAACGAAATCCCGTGTGTTCGTACCAGATGACGCTGGTAAAGTGTTCGGTAGTGTTTCGTACGAAAGACAAATAGACCGAAAGATGAGTACAATGCATTGCCCACCTAGCCATGCTTGGACACCGTACCAGACACACGCCATAAAGCCTCGATTGAGAATAGGCCAGAGTGAACCAAACACGCCAAACGATGACCGACTCACGACTGGGAATGAAATATGATATGTCGCACCGACTCGACCAGATAGACAGATGAAAATGGCCACAATTGTATAACCAATCCAAACACAAAGCCATGCTTCCCACCAGGCCAATCCTCCAACTACCATACTTGAAATAATCATCCATGTATTAATATTAATTGAGTCAGCAAGCCAAAATGCCACAAAATTCCCGGGTCCCCAAAGACGCCGTTCATATTCAACTGGTTTCAAATCTTCATTTGTTAAAAATGCTTCACGTCCAGAAAGATTTTCAGCTAAATGATCCGCATAGAGCCAACTTGGTAGCTTCATGTTATGAAATTTCTCTAAATATAACGCAAATCTATGTAGACTCATACCTGTCGACAATTACAAAGTGAAAATATACTGTGATGACTTTCTCACGTTCTCTCTTTATGTATTGAACAACGAATGAATCTTCATATCTGGGCTACAGTGAGTAAAACAGGCCTCACTCATATCACAGAACCAAACATGAAAGAGAAAAAGAGCAACAGAGAAGAGATGTCTTGATCACAGTCATGAAACTTTCGAACAAAGAAGATGCATAACGTACATTGAAAAACGGAGCGCAAGGAAAGAGAGAATCAGAAAGAAAAAAACATTTGAAGAGTACACGTGACTTGAAAAGAATAAGGGAAAGATGACTACCAAATAAAGACTACTAAGTGTTATTTTTCGCGTCGTCAGATATTATAAAGGGTGTCACGTAAGTTCTGATCCCCTCATCAAATATTTTTTTCTTACACGTTTCTACATTCGAGGAGACTGATATTTTCAGTATTTATACTAGATGTCTAGATCTACTCTATACCAGAATTTCACGTTTCTACTTATTTCTATTGCAGTGATACAAGCATCACCAAAAATAATAAGTATTTTTGAATTGTAACTAGCACAATTATGGACGAGAAAACTTGCATCCAGTCTATAACGGATCGATGTCCAGCAGCTTTTTCGTTACAATTTAAAACGGATTTCGAGTTGTAGATGTCTTTTTGAGTAGAACTATTCATATTGCATTATAATCAAGAATTAAAAATAATCAAGTATTCCTGATAATATCTCAACTTTTTTTTTTCTTATTTTTAGTGATGCTTGTATCATTGTAATAAAAATAAGTAGAAACGTGAAATTCTAGTATAAAGTAGATCTAGACATCTAGTATAAATACTAAAAATATCAGTCTCTTTGAATGCAGACACGCGTTAGAAAAAAAATATTTGATGAGGGGATCAGAACTTACGTGACACCCTTTATGTACGTATATACAGTTGTGGCAAAGATTCTTCGTACAATTTTGTTTTGATCATTCAAAAAGAATATGACGAGTGACGTTTTCATAGAAATCTATTCCAGATCAGTTTTCACTTGATTAGTAGATTCACTTAAAAAGCGCCATGTTGGTCGTGAGAATTGTATCTCAATAGGCATAATCTAGAAAAGTCTTGCACATCTGACTCTTGAAACATCACAGAAATTTAGCAAAATAGACACATTTTGATCATGTCCAAACACCAACGGTGAATACGTTCACAGCATCCAGTATGCTATCGACTTGTCATTGTTCTGTCAAGGAACACACACAAGAACTGAACTTCTCAGAGAAAACTTCAGGAAAATTTTTTCTGTGAGGAACAGTCTGGATATCTTTTTAGGTATTCTGCTTATTTTCTATCAAGTAAAAGACTATTTCAAACAGATTTCTATAAGAATATTTCCTATCATTCCCTTTTCAACGACATATTTTCTTGAATGTCTTAGTCGTGTCAAAAACGCAGAGAGTCTATACGATCAATCGGACAGAACATTTTTAACAGTAAATATCCTCATTACGTAGTAATGTGCCAGTATCTTTAGTGGATAGAAGTCAAATGATTTGATATTTGTGGCATAAATATCAGAAGTGACGGAGTTTTTTTAACATTTTCAGTTTGCAAAACATCTATACATTGCTGAGGATAAAAATATATTTAATAATATTCCCTTTTTTTCTTGTTAACAACTTCTTAACATGAAACTTTGAATGATAATGAACAATCACAAAATATTTCGAAGCACAACTCACTTTGTTTGTTTGACGCAAAATCACTAATTCGATCGTCCAAATATCTCACTCAAGCGATGAAAGCTGCCTTTCTCGCTCTTTCTGTCTCCCTCTCGACATTCAATTTTGCAGGCTAGATCTTTCATTACATCTGAAAGGTTATTATTCAAACGCATGAAGCATTTTATCTTATCTTCAGTAAAAGAGCACGCATAAATGTTTCATTTGTTTAACTATTTCGTTTTACTCTCCCACGTGTCTTATTTCACGGTAGAACATGGAAGAAACACACATGAGGCTAAATTCAAAGAGTTTGATTTTGGTCTATATTTGAGTTCGTACTAATTGCTTAACATCTCCACCGATTGTGTATCGAATCTAATGAGTCTTTCTCCTGCTGCACGTTGTCTCTTCTTCATTTGGGTGTGAGTGTAGATGCGGATAAGTGTGAAAGTATGATGTGGGTCTCGATATCCTCTTCTATTACACTTACACACGCACTGAATACCCTGCATCCACGGTCACATCCACGTCCAAACGCAAACTCCACACCCACATCCACCTGGTTGGAAACTAAAGATACTTACGTGTTAGACGATACTGAAGTTTAGAAATTGTTTCGTGTCTTTGCTGCTAGTTTTACTCTGTTTTCATCACTGACAATAACACTTGGTTTGTATCAAGGAATGTGTGTTTACGTGAATCAATGAAGCATGACTTTTGCATCAGATAGCCAGAGTTTTTTTCTCCGTCAGCAAATCATTACAGAATACTTTGTTCTTCATATATTCTTCCTCTTTTTTGCTTGACTTTGCGTTTCGTGCTGCTGCAATGAAAAAATATACACTGGTTCCCTTGACTGAAGGGAGGGTCATATGAAATGAAATGAAATACGTTTGCATGTTCGTATGTTTTTTTGTAGTCACGTGTACAGTCACATGTCCAGGTAAATATTGTGGTTTTTTAAAGAGTTTGACGAAAGTCATTCATAAAGGTTGACGAAAATGAGTCTGATAGGGGAATCGGAATCTGCAATCAAATTTTTAAAATTTTCAAGTCGTATTTTAGGGTGTGGGTGTCAGTGGGACTGTGGGTGTGTCTCGCAACAGCACCCACACCCCCAGACCCACGCCCACATCCACACCCACTCATATTGTTGCTTATGAAGGTCAAAAACCAAATTATTTTTATATCATCCTACAAGCTAAAAGAAATTAAATTTCTTTTTGTTTTTCAATAAAATCAACAACTAATTCTATTTAGGTCATGCCAATGTTTATAGAAAAGGATTGGGTGCACCTGTTGAAGTATAGAAACTACATCTATCAGATGTAGTTGGTGCAAGTGATATATTTTTCAATCGATCATGTTCAATTACAATTAAATCAAATGGTCGTTTAGAATGTGTAAAAATGAGTCGAAAACAATTCTTACGATTTGTTAAAAACCTTTGTTGGATCTTGGAAGTGTGAGTGTCAATGAAGAAATGAAACACACTCGCAATTCCTTATTTCAAAATGAAAGAATATGTCAAACTAGTTTTACCGTTTTTTGAGTCTTGTCTTATGAAATACTGTTAATGATGCCCGTATCTCGAATCTTGGCAGCGGCGTTTTCTTCAAATTTCATTTCTATTTTTGTAAAAAAAAAATTTGAAATTTGAAATATAATGGAAACTGAAGTGTCATAGATTTTTCAATCTAACAAACATGCAGAAGTATTTATTATTTATTTAAGTCATTTAAAATATCTTTTGAATAAACAACAGAAAATATAGGAATATATGAATGAATAACAATATTCATCGAACCAAAACCATCGATAGATAAGAGGAAATGTATGGAAGTTATCTATAAATAAAGAAAAATGACAAAGAAAAATGAATTTTCCATTACTTCTTCATGAGGTTATTTGGCATAATTCAAATAATATAGTATGTTTTAATGATTAATTGTATATATGTGATATGAGCTTATGAAAAACACTGATTAATATGAACAATACGAAATAGAGTTCTTTTAATTAAATTAAACATCATGTAATCTTACACGATAAAGATTTTGTTTTCTTTTTTAAGCATTTATAAGTTTGACTCGATTATTGTGTATGGAGGAGATCATTGAGAGACAAACTCGAATATATAATTCATGTATGCAAACATCTTATATTTTGTAAAATAGTTATAAAATTTTACTTTAATTTGTGAAATTTTACAAACTTGGATGATTTGTCATCAAATTCGTTAAAAAATTTAGAATAGTAATTACTATAGAACACGTAAAAATAAACTGGATATAGCTTTTTTAAATATATAAGTTGATTTTCCATTTCAATCTTATCGAAACTGTAACATTACGAATAAAATCTATTATTCTGAAATACTAAAATTATCGTAGATGATTTGCTTATTCAAGAATTAATACATACTCTTTCTCTCTTCACTTATCAATGATATAGTTAAGTAATTGAAATGTTTTACTCATACTCCAATATTGCTTTGATATCTTTGTTTCCGTAACTTCATTATTATAGAAAATAAATTATAATCCATGCAATCAATTTTTCCTATTAGTCTTTTATTTTTGTGAAGAGTTTTAAAAATAGTATTTTCTTAATTTCGGATATATTATATCATTATAATTCATGTTAGACGTATAACTCGTACGAGTAAATCATGACATGATTGATGTTCTGAGAGTTAGATCATTGCTTGTATAGCTTCATTTCTGTAATGAGAAAAATCTCGTTAAAATAGAAATACTGAATACATGGGATGCTGGACTCAAATAAGTTGTGGATGTATTGAGTCACCCATGGCATTATCGCTAAGACTACATCTATAAATTGAGCTGATGATATTGTGTCACAAGAACAAAAAATGATAGCTGAGCTTAAAAAAAAATTTCTACTCTTTGGATTGTTGTTTCATTGTATTCGCCTAGCATATTCCTATTTGTTATACTTGTGGTGACAATGAAAGTCATAGATTTACTCATTATCGATGGATATAATAAAAACGAATAACATGAAACTGAGTGATGACAAAAGTGATTCAATTTTTGCTTTGATATCTGTTTAAAAGTTTTGAGAATTTGTTTTCTTGTGTTCATTATGATTGAGGCAATGGCTTTCATGAGTGTGTGAAAATGGTAATTATAAACTTCATTGATCATTAGTCGTTTTATCAAACTAAAGACGTTTACAAATTTATGCGACTATTATTTAAAAAAAGTAAACAGTTGAA